CCAAGCTCGGTATACTGCGTTGGCAAGGACCAGCAGGACCTGCTCGGTGTTTCGTCCCGGTCTGCCTCCAAATTGTGTGTCTGGAAGCAGCTTAAATTTCTCCGCCCAAAAAGAGAGTCTTCGAGCCATAACAACTTCTAGTAACTTCCTCAGTGTATTTAATAGTGATATTGGTCGATATGCTCCCGGCACTGAATAGTCTGATTTGCCTGGCTTCCGCAGCACAACGATCCGTGCCTGCTTCCATTGTCTGGGATAGTAGCCCAGATCCACTGACTTTGTAAAGATAGTCGTAATAGTTTCTTTCAGGTAGGTCCACAGGTGTTTCCAGACCAGCGTGGGGATTCCATTTCTATCAGAGGCTATGGTCCCCTTGGCGGCTCGAACTGATCGATAAATCTCTTGTTCAATAATCAACTCCCACGGCAGTTCTTCTGTGGGATTAATCTCTGTTTCCATTTCAGGTTCTGTCATCTTCGGGAAGAAAACGTCAAGGAATGCCTCTGTCTTTTTTTGATTGTCAGCTATCTCCTCCGTGCCTACTTTGATTGTCGGGATGCTCGTATACGCGTCTCGTGGGCGCATATAAATGGCTGCCTTCCACAGATGGCCTTCACCTGCTTTGTCAAGAAACTCTTTCCAGTGATTTGCTTTTGCTTTTTCAATTGCTCTAGTCCATTTTCGTCTTCTTTCACGCATTTCTTTAAACATTGCCTTGATTATTGGATGGTTGGATTCTAGGATGGCACAGCTGTCTTGCCATCTCCGATGGGTTTGATTGACTTCCACCTGTTGGGCTTTGAGGTCTGCCGTGAATCAGTGCTTCGAGTACGGGCACGGGATCTGTGCCGGCACATGCTGATTTAATACAGTTATAATAGTTTGAATCAGATGGTCGATTGTTTGGTTTAGGTCCTTCTTGGATTGAATCCTCGGATGTGGATTAATCGATCTCGTTATCTTTTGGCCTACTTGGACCCATTCTGCTCGGTCATATGCTCTTCTCGGCCTGGGTTTCTTAGTCTGCTCTGGTTGGAGGCTCCATTCTGAGTACGTGCCCCGATGATCGGATCCATAATGATCGTGATAAAATTGGCATTTAATCAGCCGTGTCATGTCGTTGATAAGTGTGAGATCGAGTACTAATGTCGTCCCTGGTTTATTTAAGGACCAAAATGTTACTTCGCCTGGGGCCAGGCATCATTGTAGTTCGTGATTTTGAAAGAAATTGATTAGTTCATTCGCGTGTTCGGCGAAGCGGTAATGTATCTCGCAGTGACTCCATGCCGGATGATGACGATTGAAATCTTCGGCCAAGATGAGTTTTGTCGCGCGATTTCCTTGTTCAGTTTGTTCTTGGATAGTTTGTTGAATTTCTGCCAGAATTTTATGGGCGCTGTTGGCTTCAAATGCGTCGTGCATCGCGATTGGTGGAATGTAGATGGAGAATATTAGGTATTGAAGTTTTGGGATCCAGATCTTGATGACCACCACATTTGGATGATTACATTGGATTTGGCGGTGCGATGATGTAGAGATCCTCTGGTTGACATAAAGGAGACTGCGAAATCGAGGTGTTGCAGAGTGTGTAGGTCGATAGAGTCGCCATGCGCTGTGGTTAACATGGATGTGGTATGCTGTCTTTGGTGGTTCCTGAATTAAAAGCAGATCTAGGTTTTGACTTTGATGATCGTTAATAAGGGTCTCCATCCCTGGCCTGGATTTCATGGTGTTCAACTGTAGGATGCGAAGGTTTGATGTCATTGGGATGGACTGGGGTGAGGGGGTGTCTGGCATGCCCGGTCACCTGTCGGGTGTTCTCCATTGCAGTCTGTGCATCTCGGCCTTATTCCTGGGAAGCAGTAACGCTGATCGTGTGGTCCCGCGCAGTATCTGCATACCACCCGTTCCTTACAGGGCCAGGCTAGATGGCCAAATTGCTGGCAGCGACGGCACCGTTGCTTTTCTACCCGGTATGGTTCCACGCTGCCGATAAACCTCTGTCCCACCAGCAATCCGTTGTTAATGATCCATTCAGCTGCCTCTGGTGAGTCCAACCAGAGTCCCATTGAGGCAGATTTGCCCAGAGACATGTCTCTCTTCTTTAATCACGCGATATCTTCCACCTGGAATTTCTTATCGAGAAGGTCATTTTCCACCGTGATCTTCTCTATTCCTTGTTTCTTGTTCTTTTTCAGATCAAATTCCTCGGTCGGGACTCGGTGGGCCACGATCCCAAACCGGGATTTTATTACTTTAATGTTGTTTCCCAATTCTTCCAGTCATTCGGTGCTGCCCCGGGCAGTCTCAGCAGACTGGGCATCCCGGAATTGTATGACATAACCTGTTTTGGTGATACCAATACCGACGACTTGGACTTCTTTGATGTTCTCTGCATTTAGCAGGACGATTCGAATGTGAGTATTTGCTGCTTCCGTTGGCAGGATTCTTGAGAATCGATCATTATCAATGTCCTGATCTAGGGTCGGTGCGGTGCTGATTCGAACACAGTTGGGTTCTTTTCGGGGACGTGGCACTGTTGTCTTGGGGTCTGGTAGAGTGTTTCCTGCGGCCACTTCTGTCCAGGATCTGTTCCCTGAAGTATTCAGTGGTTGTGCCTCCAGTTTGGCCTATAGGGCTTGAATCTCTTTCTGCAGTTCCTCGTTGTGAGTTCGCAGAAGCTGCTGTTCGGCTTTCAGTTCTTGGACCTCAGCCCTTACTGTTTCAATTATTTCGGTCTGATGCTTAAGCACCTCGTTGAAGCTGTTAAAATACTGTCGGACATCTTGATTCGTCACCCGCCCATTGTTTTCTCCGCCGGTCGCAAATTCAGGGTTCGCGATCGGCTCATTTTCTTCTGCCTCACAGCCTCGCCTGCGGCGTTTTCTTGTTGCTGGAATCCTGGGCCGGAAGTCATAGTCGCTGAAAATTGTCGCTGTTTCTTGCGTGTTTGTGGGATGGGGTTCGGTAACCCCTGCGGGCGGGATCGCCATCGGGCCGAGACTAGTTCCCGCTCGGCACACAATGACAGCCACAACACCTCAATAACTCGCGATGGTTTGATATCCGGATTTGCCTCCCCTTTTCCAACGGATCTCACCAGGGACTACCGGTGTTTATTCGCATTCTCTACCCCTAACAGGGATTACGAATTTCATCTCTTTGTTTCCAGGGCGGTACAATGTTTCCGGATGCCGGAGTCACCACTCACACTCTTTGATTGTTTCAGTAACCCTGGAGTGAAAATAAGCTACACTGAATTCGGAATGGAAGGGAATAACGATTTTCCCGTGCCAGGAAACGTATTGTAAATACTAGTCATATTACCATAATGACGTGACCGGGTAATCCTCGCGCTTGTCCCTTGGCATGGAAATTTCTGGATTCAGAACGAGTGGCAAGCTGGCCATATTCACGGAACCATCTAGAAACCACTGCAGAGTTCTTATTTATCTCAAAGAATGATATATAAGCCTCAGTTATCCCAGGCCCTTCTTTTACAAAGAGATTAGAAAATAAGAGATTTGAGTGGAATACAAATAATACAGTGCGACCCGAAATGTCCTTCTATGTTTTGTAAAGACGTAGCATGTTTTCAAACCCTAGTTCCGAAGCCCTAGTTTATCAGAAGCGGTTAGCCTATATTTCCGGCCCGTTTCTCCCGTGAATGATACCATACCCACAAAAACAAAGTAACCAAACCATACCATGACGGCCAAGAATACACTCCGCCTAGCTTTTCTGCCATCACTTCAATTCTTGAGGCCAACGTGTGCTTTTCACCTCACAGCCAACTGACGATGGCGCGACACCTGGACTCTCGACAGCACAGGATGGCTATCCATCTAATACGTAGCAAACGGCTCAGTAATGCACAGATTGCTCAAAGTGCCCTTTCCCGGCATGGTTGGACGAAAAAGCAGGTGCGACAGAAAGCAAAAGAACAGAGCCCTCAACTAAGAGCTTTCTACCAGCATGAGCTGTCAAAGTCTCGGATGTCTCGGGGCACATTATGGCTCTTGAGTTTGCCGCTTTTCTTAATATAAACAACCAGCCGGTTAATGTGTGGCTGCCTGAGCTTGTACAGTAGTGTTTGCTGTACTTTGAGTCTTCCCAGTACTAGCCAGAGTTTAGCTGGCATGAGCGGACATTACATTGCATGAGCTTATATATAGTGTTCCATGCAGAGGGTTGCCCTGTCCTCTCTTTTTCTTTAGTTGTTTCTCCACGGGCGTCCATTTGATCTTAGTGCCGCTGTCAAACTGTTCTAGTGGACACTGCTTTCGATCATTGACCTCAACCTTGATCGTCGTACTCTCAGGTCGAACCTGTTGGTTGGGCTTCCTTTTTGTTTGCACCATGTTGTCAAGATCCGCTTGCAGATACTTCTCCCAATACTGACTGGGAGCTATAACCAGGTCTTTCTTAGTCACATTACCCACTGGCTTATTATTGAGCAGCAGTTTCCACTTGACCGTGGGCGAACCAGTCAAAAACGCAAGGGCATCGGGCCGTTATTCTTCCTTTCGGAGAACGGATGATGCCCCACTTGCAGTTCGAGGGGCCTCGATCGAATCTCTTTGGCTTTGGTGTTCTTACTCTCCGGAGCAAGACTGCAAGTTGACTCCACAACAGCTCACGTACTGAACCTAGCCGAATATGTCCACCGCCAGCAGATGGCAGAACGGTCGCTGGCCTTCTGTGAGTGGCATGTGTTGTGCAGCGTGGCAGCAGCTAAGGAGGCTGTGCCAAGCGCATGTCAATGTGACCGAATGTTAGGCAGCCTCCCGATCCTTTCCTCTTCAATATCCTAAGCTCATAATGACCTCTCGATCTATAAACCACTTGCAATTCGCAGCTGGCTAAAAGCGTATACCTCCACACAGGTACCGCCACTTCACATTCCTCGTCTTATAACCCCGCTCCTTGAGATCGCCGTCCACCGACCCGAATGCCACCGGATTACGGTCATCGTGGGCGTGTTGTATCAAGAGGACATACTATGATCGGCTTTGGTGCTCGAGAATATCAAAGCGAACAACACGAGAGTCTTCATTTGGCTGTTCATGGCTGGTCGACGATGCCTCAATCATATTGCGTGGTGGTCCGTCTGCTAAGATCGTAGAGTCAACCAACGAGGAGTTTTCCGCAGACATACTGCGCAGAACGGACTGACTAATGGGAATGTTACTACTGTGTGATTGACCTTGTACTGCCCGAAGTGCCAGCGCAACGTGAGGCGTCGAAGTATCTCTCAGCAACGCTTGAAGTGTTCCCGGGGTGTGGACCCCAGCTGCTATCACTGATCCTCGCATCGCTGCATTATTCGACACGTTCATATTAAAGCTTGGCTGATGCGTATCCGTGCCAAAAATCGCACGACTACTCTCGGCTTGATTTCCGGTGATAGTAAGAGTAGGAAGGGTGGCCTTTACTTGCTCAAGACTCGCAATACTGCTCTGGAGACTTTGCATGCTGCTCTGAAGTTGGGCCAGATCGGTTTGGAGGATATTCCGGGTTGATACATCTGCACCACTAATGGTCTCTCGCACTTGTTCTAACTGATCGTCAAGATCTTCTTTAGTGCCTTGGATGGTGTTTTCAAGATTTTGTATTGAGTCTCGCGTGATATTCAAATCGCCCCTTTTGCAGTCAGCTTATACGCACAACTAGAATACATTTCCTACTTACAAGGTGATCAACTGAAAGGTTATACTAAGAGTCGCTTTATAGCTAGCAAGCCGCTTCTTCATATCTTCGAAACTCTTTTCGTGATATCGCAAGCTGAGCCAGTCACGAATACTATCCCTTCCTTCATCCGAGTGCTTTGTGCATGAATCGAGCGTCACTTGCAGATCCTGACATATTGCTAGACAGCATTCCATAGGTAGACGTAGAGCTTCGAGTCTATCGGATTCGTGCGAGCTCTCCGCCAAGTCTCGGATTGACTGGAGCACATCCAGAAGAGAGCTCAGGTCAAGTTGCAAGTCTCTGATTGTCCTCCGCTGGCTTCTGAAGCTAGAAACAGCTTCATAAAGAGTTTTGCTTGCATCAAAAGTCAAGATAGTCAGACCTAAAAGGGCAGATACAAAGCCAACGGTTTCGGCCATCTTGGGGATTCGATACGGTACATTCAAGGGCAGAACAAACAGCTCCGTGAAGATCGAAGTTCAGTATCCGTAACTGCTCCGTTCCCCAGACCTGAAAGGAAACCCATCACCTTGACACGTGTCGCATTGCTACTGGTCCCGCGCTTTCTGGCTTGCCAGAACCCAGCGCTTACAGAACCTTCAGCCGCAAAGCTCACTCGGACATCTCCATCTTATCCTAATCTCCTACTTGATCAATCGGTCCATGAATTTCCTACCATCATAGAGTAATCAAAGTCCTCCTCTTTATTAAATTCAACTTTCAAGAAAAGGCTGAACATCGGAATAATGCGCCAACCGGCGGTCAACATTAATCAGCAAGGCAATGTCGCCAAAGATGGAGCTACTCAGATTATTAACGTCAGTTTGCCCCCAGGTATGTCGCAGTCCTGCCCCGAAAAGGTATGACTAAGGCCTAAGACATTGCAGCTATTGATGAAGACCAAAGAGATAAACACTACCTGCGAGAGTTACTCCTCAGTCATCCTGATGATGATCTAAGACGCATCGAGGCCACTAAGGGTGGTCTACTAGACGACTCATTCCGATGGATCCTGGATACTGCTGAATTTCAGAATTGGCATACCAACTCACAAAGCCAATTGTTGTGGATCAAGGGAGATCCCGGCAAGGGCAAGACTATGCTTATGATTGGGATAATCAGAGAACTGTCACGGCAGGTTGACTCACAGCCATCGCAATCAATGGCCTACTTCCTGTGCCAAGCAACCGATCCCAGACTAAACAATGCTACCAGCATCCTGCGGAGTCTGATCTATCTGCTGGTTCGACAACAGCCCCATTTGATCACACACCTGCGAGAAAGATACGACACTGATCCAAAGCTGTTTGACAATGGGGACACATTTTACAGCCTATCTGTAATCTTTGACAATATGGTCCAAAGCTCAACAAGAGCTACGATATTTCTGCTGATTGATGGGCTCGATGAGTGTGAATTGGGTCTACCCGAGTTACTCCGATTTATTACCGCGACGACAAAGTCGACTTCAACCGTTCAAGTGAAGTGGGTCGTGTCGAGTCGTAACAGAGACGATATCGAGCAAGCACTGGAGTTTGACGATAGCAAAGACAAGCTCAGCCTGGAGCTTAATGCGCATCATATCTCTGATGCTGTTGCGTCATATATCAATTATAGAGCCTCTCAGTTAACAGTACTCCAACGTGATAAAGTTCTCTTGGAACAGGTCAAGGGCCAACTTCTTCAAAGGTCAGATGGCACATTTTTATGGGTGGCCTTGGTAGTTCAAGAAATGCAGAAGTGCCAGCGTTCGGCAGCGGTGGTTGAGCTGCTAGAAAGAACTCCCCGAGGCTTAATCCCACTCTACGACCGAATGCTTCAACAGATTCTTCGTTTTGATGGTCTGGATCGCGACTTATGCATATTAGTCCTCTCAATCGTGACGCTTGTATACCGACCGCTTCACCTGCGTGAACTGGGTTGTTTGGCGGGCTGGAATGAGCGACAATACAGCTTTAACGATTTGGAGAATGTTGTGAGCATGTGCGGATCATTCCTCACAATTCGGGATAAGCACGTTTATCTGGTACATCAATCTGCAAAAGACTACCTTAGTGATGACAAGGTATCTACTGCAGTTTTCCCGTCAAGGCCCTCTACAATACACCACAGAATAGTCCGTGAGTCCCTGCACAGCCTCTCGGACAAACTACGACGCGACATTTACAATCTCGGTGATCCAGCTGTTTCAGCGTCCGAGATAGCAAGCCCCCCACCCGATCGTGACCCCCTCATCGACCTGCGATATAGTTGCACGTACTGGATTGACCATTTTATTGAAGATATTTTGACATCTGATACTGTGTCTATTTCAAAAGACTATGAGGTAGCTTCTGACTTCTTCAGGAAACATCTACTTCACTGGCTAGAGAGTCTTAGTCTGATTAATGAGATGCGACATGGGATCTTAGCTCTCAAAAAGCTTGTCCGCTTACAGCAGGTATGTGATAAAGAAATGCTAAAAAAGCTTACCTGACATGATATAGAAGCAAGCTTCGGCTGAAAGTGGCCCGAGTGTTAGTATATCCAAGAAGATATTAACAGATCTAGTTAGTCGGACGGGGCTAAGATCGCTGGTCTCCAAACAATCTACCATTCATAAGCTGCATCAGTCAATCTTCAAAGAGTTCGAGAGGTTTGCGACTAGCTATGGATTTATTATACAAGAGGCACCATTGCAAGCATACAGCGCTGCACTTGTCTTCTGTCCTCAAGCTAGTGAAAGCAAGAAGCTTTATTGGAGCGAACGGCTGGATTTTCTTGACCGTGCAGTTGTTATGCAAGAGGAATGGGATCCATGCGTGCAGGTACTAGAGGGCCACACTCATTGGGTCAACGCGGTAGCCTTCTCTCCAGATGGGCAAACAATCGCATCTGCCTCAAATGATCGTACCGTGCGGCTCTGGGATTCAGCCACTGGAGTTGAGCGTCGTACCCTGCAGGGCCACAGGAATTCGGTCAGGGCAGTCGCCTTCTCTCCAGATGGGCAGACGGTCGCATCCGCCTCAAATGATAATACTGTGCGGCTCTGGGATCCAGCCACCAGAGTCGGGTGTCGTACCCTGCAGGGCCACAGGAATTCGGTCAGGGCAGTCGCCTTCTCTCCAGATGGGCAGACGGTCGCGTCCGCCTCAGATGATCGCACCGTGCGGCTTTGGGATCCAGCCACTAGAGTCGAGCGGCATACCCTGCAGGGCCACAGGAATTCGGTCAGCGCAGTCGCCTTCTCTCCAGATGGGCAGACGGTCGCGTCCGCCTCAGAGGATCGCACCGTGCGGCTCTGGGATTCAGCCACCGGAGTTGAGCGTCGTACCCTGCAGGGCCACAAGAATTCGGTCAGGGCAGTCGCCTTTTCTCCAGATGGGCAGACGGTCGCGTCCGCCTCAGATGATCGCACCGTGCGGCTCTGGGATCCAGCCACCGGAGTCGAGCGTCGTACCCTGCAGGACCACTGGTATTCAGGCAGGGCAGTCGCCTTCTCTCCAGATGGGCAGACGATCGCGTCCGCCTCATATCGCAACGTGCAGCTCTGGGATCCAGCCACTGGAGTCCAGGGTCGTACCTTGCAGGGCCACAGGAATCAGGTCAGCGCAATCGCCTTCTCTCCAGATGGGCAGACAGTCGCGTCCGCCTCAAATGATAACACCGTACGGCTCTGGGATCCAGCCACCGGAGTTAAGCGTCGTACCCAGCAGGGCCTCAGGGAATGGGTCAACGCAATTGCCGTCTCTCCAGATGGGCAGACGGTCGCGTCCGGCTCAGGTGATGGCACCGTGCGGCTCTGGGATCCAGCCACCGGAGTTAAGCGTCATACCCTGCGGGGCCTCAGGGATCAGGTCAGGGCAGTCGCCTTCTCTCCAGATGGGCAGACGGTCGCATCCGCCTCATTTGATGGCACCGTGCGGCTCTGGGATTCAGCCACCGGGTACGAAAAGGACAAACATCATCTTGGCGTAACACTAATTACCTTGTCATTCTCGGACAATGGCTGTCTCAAGACTGACTGCGGTTCACCTTCTTTGAACCACCAAATTCCCGACTTCATTGAACAGCAGGAAAATGAAATATTCGTAAGTGAAAAATGGGTCATTCACAACGGGCAGCGTTTGATTTGGCTCCCTCCAGACTATCGGGCGACATGTGCGGCTATCAATAGGAACAGTGTGGTTCTTGGTCATAGATCAGGGTGCTTGACATTTTTGTGGTTAACTTAACGAATTTTATCCTGTTCTACGTGTCATATTCATAGATGTTTCCCGTCCATCTGACTCTTTATCTTCTAATCTCTCCGTAAAAGTGGGGCTCGGGAGGCCCGTTATTTGTTACTTGGTGATTTTGCCACTCTGGAATCCCGGGTTTATGTACTATATAATCATGCTGACTAGTGACAGACGGACAGATAGTGATCCGAGGCTCTCGCGAACTTTGGTCTTGCTACTGGTCAAGTTAATTATCTGATTTCATCCACTGTCTTCCGTACCATGGTCCATGTCTTTTCTTACCAAATACGCCAAGCCGTGCATATTACTTGAATAATGCATCGTACTAGCTTTAGTATTAGGCACTGACCTGCTGGTTATTCTTCAAACGTAGACTCTTGAATAAGCATCTTATTTCTATTCAACCTTCTAAATTGGTCATTGCAGCCCTTCAATTGTCGATGAAACAACTTACAGCAGGAAGCCCAAATGGGTGTCAAGATATACCTATCTAGGGAGGCGGTGTCCATACTGGTTCCCTGCCGTGACGTACAGCATACAAAGTGTTCAGTGACAGCTACATGTTCGATACGAAACTTGTTTTTCACATCCGTACTCATTCTTCTTGGCACTAGCTCGATTAAGCTTAGTTTCCTTTTAGGTTAGGGTTTGAAAATCAATTTGTCCATGTCAAAGGTAGAAGGACATTTCGGGTGCCTCTGTATTGATCTAACCTGTATGGAATCCTACGATGCAGACTCGACCACTGTGATACCCCAGGGCAAGTGTGGCGTCTTTGACAGCATGACAATAAAATGAACGATACTCAGCAGGCAGCCACAGTATATTTTTACCTGCTAATGCAATCCAGCTATCTGATAAAGATATTTGGAAATTGGGATCAGAGTTATTCAGAATTGAATTAACCGAACCTGAATGGCCCTCGAGCGTCTGCCGCTGCATGCCGGTGGCTGTATCCCAGAGCTTGATGGTGTCATCTTCAGAGCCCGACGCCAGGGTAAGCCCATCAGGAGAGAAGGCCACTGATCTGACCGAACCTGAATGGCCCTCGAGCGTCTGTAGGCTTGGGCTCCATGAATCTTCGACTACTGGGAGTATTTGTATCTGTTTTAATACTTCACCAAGAAAAGTCTTCTTAATGACACTTTGTACAGGTGTAAATATTAGACCGGAACTGTAGATTTGGAGTGGAGCAATGCCAGCCATGTAAGCATGTTGAAGAGTAAACCTTCTTGCATCATACAGAAAGTCCCAAAGCTCAGCATCAATATTGTCCTGGAATATAAATTAGCCACTGCTTAACCAGCAAGTTATGGACTTACCTGTGTACTTGTCTTTATTGTATCTATCATTTCCACTGCTTCAGATATTTTTCCTATCAAAGCTAGTGCCTCCAGCCAGTGCAGAAAACGCTTCTTAAGAAAAGAGAGAATCTCAGATTCAGAGATGCGACCTTTGCTTTGTTGAACATGATGCACCCAGTACTGGCAGGAGTATTGCAGATCAGCCGTGAGGTAGTGCTTGATGATTTGTAGGTCGATATCCGTGCGCTGTGTTCCGTAACTTGCCAGGTTGCAGATATTGTGCTTCAGTCGAGTGTCCATAACCCGGAGACAATGTATCGCTATCTTCCCATGTGTCTCTTGCTCATTGATATGAAATCGGCTCTGTGTGGCCAGAAGGTAATCTCGAAATGACAGGTGTAGAATTCGAACTGGCGTCTCTCGCTCACTTGGTATATTGAGGACTGAATGTAAAGAGCCCAATGTCTCACTGATCTCATGAGTATTCAGTTCCAGAAGAAGGGCTAGAGATTCAATAGAGAGTGGGGTAGCAAGAAGAATAATAACACCGACGATGTTCTGGAATTCTTTCACAAGGTCTTCCGACTCCTCTTCGTCATTGCCTAAAAAACGTTCTAGAATAGGCAAATATATCCGGTCCATCTGGCTTTTACCTGTACCTTGAGATTCGAGGAACCTCTCGAGCCGCTGGTTCGGATGCGTTCCTTGCTTAATGAAACGGCATGCTGTGGCCGCGAAAATGAATAAAGGAACAGCCATCCTTACCAGCTTTTCTATCTTTTCTTTTCCTGGCCAATTCGGGGAGAATGCGCCCGCCTGTATTTCTGAAAGCTTAACTTCCAGAAACTTGCGAATATCATGTTCGATCACCGGCTCAGGAAGCTCATGGAGGACTAGATCCTGATGACTCTGACTCTCCTTAAATCCAAGACGGATTGGAAGTTCGGGTCTGCTGGTCAGAAATATTCCAACTTGCACGGATTCAAGCTCCTGTACTCGTAGGAACAGTTTGATTATTAATATAATTTGATCTTCCTGGTCGCATTCATCCAAAGCATCAATCACAATCACAATAATTGCAGGATTTGCTTGATTCAGGGTAACCAGTGGCTGAAGAAGCAACTGATTGAATTGTTGGCTGAGGGATTTGGTTGAAATATCTGGGTCTTTCTCCACTGCTTCCAAGACGGCTGGTGCTAGCTTTGGATAGCGTAGTATCATTTGTTTTGCGATTGTTGATATCAGATACTTTGCATTAGTACGATCTGTTTCACCTCGTTTGAAGAAAAATGAAGCACCAAGTTGCTCTTTATCGTGAAAGATGCGTGCCACTGTTCGAGCAATAGTTGATTTGCCTGTTCCTGCCATACCATTCAACCAGAATATGCATTTACCATGTGCTGATTTACCCCACTCTTCAACTTCACTGAGTAGCTCTTTTCGGGTTTCTGGAAGACATTCATCATGCTGATTGTCAAAAGAGTCAAATGCTGCTCCTTCAACAATCCTCAGTTGTTGCCAACCAATTGTCTGATCGAATCGAGACTGAAATAGCCTATTGCTGTCAGCCGTCTCCCCCGATTATACTACATTTCGTCATACCTCTGTCCATCTCTTATGTCTAGCGTATTTCTTTCAACTAGCAAACGTCATTATATGCCTGAGATAGCCCAAGAATTTCAAGGAGGGCGGGAGGGGTAGGGTGTGTGAAAGGGAAAGAAGAGATATATTTATTTTGATAGATACATCTAATCAAACTCCCATACCTTGTTGCAATTGATTTGTAACCTGTTCAGCCCATGCCGGCATTTTATCCACTTTTTGTGCTGGCAGAACACAAAGTAATTCTCGTGCATAGGCAGCAGCACTCAGCGCAGCAAAGTTGTGCCAATCATCATTTTTATGAGAGTCACAATAGTCGCAGATTCCACGAATGACAAGGCATGGAAGATTATTCATCAGACCTGCAGCTTCCATCTCAAAACACAACACCTGATCAGGATTGTTTGCATAGAATTCACGTATAGCAGCGTCCTTAAGAACAGTATTGCCTGATGCAATGGTTCCATAGTGAATCCGAATGACGCGGTGGTGTTGACGCTCTGGACGATTGACTAGAAAGTCTGAGTCACATCGCTGACAGCTCGATCCACCTGAATGCAGGTAATCAGCCTGGTACAACTGGTCGACCATTGGCCGATGATACTCTTCCATATCATCCATGCGCTGAATATGCTCCGCGATTCTGTCTGGCTTCCGCTTGTCGTTGTAAAGTCTCTTTATCTCAGGAATAGCGCCAAGTAATTTGTCAGGAGGCGCGTTTAATTGACCTGTTCGTTGGAATTGACCATCCTGCAGTCTTCTTCCAAGATCATATTGTATCACACCCCCGAATTCATCTTTGGGCTGGCTGACAACAACATCGCCAAGTCTGATATCATGTCTCGCTGTCGGCGCACGGCCTCCAATCCCAACCATTAATGCGAATCGTAGGTTTGGAAAGGTCCGGACCATATCTCGCGCAACACGGCTGGCGGAATTGGAGCCATATCAGCCTGCTGGAAGACAGCCAATCACCACGTAATGGCCCTTGATCCGGCCATAGGCATATGTGTTGTCATCGCCATTCTCCACCAGATCTGGGCTTGCGAAATCCTCATCGAGCATTCGACACGCACATTCGTACTCTTCCTGCAGGGCACAGATCCATCCGACTGTATAGGGATTTGCTGATGGCAAATCATTTCTTTGGGGCTCGGAACTAACTGTCGGATAACGTTTGGCATGACTGGGAGATAGAGAAGTACTCGGCGAAAATTTTCGCTTCATTATAAGGGCTTCCAAGGTAAATCTGTATCATAAAACATCAGCGGCCTAGAAAAAGCGAAGCAGGCAAGAATCGTGATTCAACAGGAATGTTTAATTACCAAAATGTTTTGGCGAACTGGGACTTGACAACCCACTAGAATAGACCATATGGATGTTTGAAAAGGCTGAAAGAGATACTTTGTGAGAAGGCTGTCAAGTTGAAATGAGCTGGCGCGGGGTGCGGCGGCAAAAGTCGATGTATCATTGGATGATTTCACAACCCAGTATTTAGCTAACTTTTGTTATTTTAAATGCGTCAAGTTCATTTCAGTAAATAGATCCAGTTTCGATAAGTGTATATCTGACTCTTTAGATGAAGTCAACCTGATATACTCTGTTTACTACTTTAATATTTATATTCTGCGATCTATAACGAGACAAAGTGGAGCAATCCACAAACATTGAGCTCCACCGGTCAGGAAACCATTCGGCCTATTTTATATCAGCCCGGGCCGGGTAATCCTCAACCCGTGCTTCGTCCCCCTAGAATGTTCTATGCAAACTGCACAAACACCAGGAACCCTTTCCAACACGCTGTCAACACCTTCTTCGTCCCTTGACCCTCTCATCATTCCCGTCGGGATATTTCTACCTGTCGAGGTTAAGCAGGATGAGTGGCACAATTTATATAGCCCTGATTTTTTATTCTATACGGCTTGTTAGCAACAGCCCCTCGTCCCTGGTATGAAAACCCGCGTGAAGAACCCCCAGCTAGCTTTTAGTCTTTTCATTATCAGACTCCTCAAGGGTATTTATTGCCTTGATGAAGTAGCATCTAGCCCTTTGAGTGACAGTACTTCTCAGGCTCTCTATCCCGCTCCGTGGGAACAGACCCTGTCGTATGCCCCTACTCCTGGTAACTTTGGCCGCGATTGCACGCCGTCCGATACAGCCCGTCCGACCGTGGAAGTCGAAGTTCCACCCCCTTGCGTCATACCCCACTCGATCAACCACAGTTCATTCGAAACACAGAATGCGATGTTACAACGATAGATGATAGGGAACAGCCTATCTCGATTCGATATTTGATTGAGTGGGGAGTGACTCTAAATAATCGCGTGGTGGCAAAGGATACGGAACAAGACCTCACTCTAAACCCCAGTTCTTATTGGTCAAACATCAAACATAAAGCCGAAGATATATTACATCGGAAGATAGCTCGCAGCCGACGGGTGAGACTGGATGACACTATGTTAGTGGTTTCTGTAAATGATCGATCACAGCGCGATCTCACCAAGCGCTTTGAGAAAACTGACATCGAGTGGGCGGCTATTCAAAAGCAGCTTGTAATGTGGGAGAATCTATTTCACCAAGGCAAGAAGCTTAGGCTGTGTATCTCTATTAACTATTTAGACTCCGACCAGTCTCCAAGAGACACTGATAATCCAGTGGCTTTTACTCAAACCACACGTAGCCTTTTGGGTTCACGTTCTTTAAGTCCACAGTGTCGTTTGAGAGAGTCTGGCCGCTTGTGCATCGGCCGATGATCCAATGTGCATCGATGGAAGTCAATGATTAAGACCCGTTTGAGTTCGGCATTCCATAAGAGATTTTCCGGTCGGAGATCCTGGTGGAGGATACCTAAAGAGCGAATCTCCTTAATCGACCGAGAAATCGCACGCTGAATGGTCTTGTCAAGATTCGAATGGCCCACGCTCTCGCCCCCCCAGCCCATAAGAAGCATATGACGGATTTCTCCCGCGCCGTGGAGGAAGTAGATCTGGGCCAGATTAATAGCTCCAAGAAAGACCGGAACAGCCGATCCTTGGGCTCGCTGAAGGACACGATAAATGTCTGCTTCACGCGACACCTCATTCCAAAGTTGTGACGTCGTCCCTTTGCCGACAATAGTGTACCCATATGTGGCACATGTGATCTTATATGGCGCACCATAAGACCCACAAGGTCCTGTTGGAGTACAGTCATGATCTAGATCCCGATCAAGCTGCGCCTTGAGCTTTTCCGCTAAGACTTCTGCGCTGATTGGATGGTGGTCGTCACTTTTTCCGCCGAGTATATGCAGCTCCGTGTTTGGACAGTCAGGGTCAAGCAGGCCGCCTTGCTGTAGCCCTAGAAGGCATTTTTGTGTGCAATACTGAGCAAAATGTGGACGAGATTGCCCACCCGGGTTCCCTCAAGAATCTGTTTGAGTTGCAAGCCGTTGGGTTGGGGGGGACGATGTGATTTGGCTAAACCCGCGCTTCCGTCCAGCAGATGCGGCAGGGTCTACCTCAGAATCCGACGAATCCTCTTGGAGATACTGGTCGGATGAAGGCGCGCAACCAGAGGCCGCTCGTGTGGGCACTCGACGACCTTTGGTGGCGGGAGACCCCGCAAGAGGCGATGAAGGTATATACTCAGAGGTAGATCGCTCAGGACTAGTGTATTCTGAGCTAGCATAGTCCACGTTCGCGATCGGTGGTAATTCAGCCGCTGGGATCTGGGAACGCTCGCTATCGAAACTTGTGTGCCATTTCGGTAGTTTTTTTTCGGCGGCATTCCGCCAGGCCTGATCACGAAGAGGGGTGCGAAAGCTCATCAAACAAGAACACAAAGCCCTCTCAACTCTGGTCCGCGGCTCTCGAACATCGATGTCGGGCCCGCCTACATCGTAGTATAACGTAGTTGGATCGTCGAAAGGCACCCACAATTGCACATCTAGGAGGCCGTTCGTGATAGAAGAGCACCCAACTCCATATTGTATCATCCCATGGAATTGTTGAACGGCCACGGACCCAGCTAGACGTGCAGTATTGTATCTTTGTTTTTCAGGCCCATCTTTTGGTATAGTGTCTGGTTTGACGATTTCCTGCCAAAATTCCATCGGTCGAAATCCTTCCCGTATGTTCTGCACGGACAGTTTATGAGGGGGTTTGTATTCAACGGTGGTCAGTAAGGCTTTCGATTGACCGTCAACTCGGTGGATGCAGAATTAGTCGGGCCTAGATAGTGGGGTGTCCGATCCAGATTGTTCGACCTCTAGCGAATTAGCATGGTTGTCAAACCACACACCATCACCAAGCCCAAATTCTTCGCGAGCAGCAGGTATCTTGCATAGCGCCGAAATTATATCACGCACATGATCTTCAACGGCAAATCGCTCGTAACTCTCGAGATCTTGTTCACTGCTGATCGGACGAAGCGCAAAACGCCGACCAAGGCCCTCTAGTTCAACTAAGGGCGCAAATAGCTGTGGGGCATCTTCAGTAGGCTGTAGGTAGCGGCAAACCGACGCGTAAATTTCTCGTTGTATGGCAGCGCAATCTGTCCATGGACAAAACCGTATGGGGCAGTATTTTCCGGTAGGAGGAGGGATCTTGCCTGTCGTTGAGCGAGAAGGAGCTTCAGCTCGTAGCGGCCGCCAAAGGAGATTGTGACAATGTCGGATGAACTCTCCAAAAGTGGTCGGTCGGTTACGCTCCCTCTCTTGCCTCTCTCTTTCTTCTGCCTGTCTCCTTCCCTCCTCTGCCTTCAGGAAAAGCGCTTTGTAGTCCGGGGAGCTGTTTTCACTCATTCTTTTTTCCTCCTGCGAGAAGGATGAGGAAACCGTATTGCGGCGCTGTCTGGTCCTTCGTGCCTATTGTCGCACGTGTCAGAATTCGGCTCCGGTGGAACGTTTATCCATTAACCCCCTTGGTAACACCAGGAAGGTCCTCGCCTGCGAAGCTCTTGACTAATGGCACGGTTCTTGGCATCCAGGACCCTCCGAAATGTCTCTACAGCTTTGGCTTAGCCTGAAATTGTTTTTCCCTGATCATGTGGAGAGAATTCTTGTTGCGCTTTGCTTTCCTGGTTCTTTTTAGTCGCTACTGGGCTGCGATTTTGTTACCTCCTGTCGCCGGAGGTCTGACATAAAAATCTGCATAATCCTTCACTTAGAAGGGTTGACCCTTTTTTAGTGCAGTGATATTGCCACACCTCCCACTAACGTACTTGATCACCTGACGACCGCCCCCACCTGACGCCCGCTTTTCACCTCAGCGTTCATATAGAATTGAAGCCATACAACCACGTATAATTCGAATTATGTAGAAGTCTTTGAGCGGAGTAGAAAGTATGAATAAAGCTATATACATATTTTTTTCAAATCGCGAAAGCGCTGTGGGAGCCTGATCTGCCTATCTCTGCGATTGAGCGTTGGAGGGGCCTGGTCAACAACCTCAACATCTAGAGAACTTCTAGATCACTGGCACCGAAATGGCGCTGAGAAAGAGTCGAAGAGTGTCAATCATGTAAACTCTAATTTCCAAGGATCTGCACATCCATATCAAGACGAAAGGGGATTTCACTATCCTCTATAGTATACTATACGACATTAACCATTTTGGCGTATGTAGCCCAAAACTCGATTATATTTCTCTTTGAAATTACCCAAGACAATTTTGTTTTACAATTTAGTCCGAACAGGTCCTCGATAGTAAAAGCAGAATGCAAGTGGTACAATAAACACGAATCCAGGATGATGTGGACGACTGCAACAAAAATAAAACAGGAAATAATGCAGAGAGCTTGCACTTCTCAATATCCACTTGCCGATCGGGGGAGTCTTGGGTTTTGCCGCCAGTGAGTTAACGTAATCGGCACCCGAGCGAGCCACGTAAGCGAGCGAGCCACCCCTTCCGCGGCCAATGCCGCCCACATGCAATTCTGATTTACATACAAGAAAGTGGTGTTTTTTAGGCTTCAAATCGCAGTTTAAATCGCCCATTTTCAGGCAGTTACCCGATTAGGGCACCGTGTACGTATATGGCCTAAATTGTGACACTCACTACACCGAGGCGGTGCCCGGCGGCGAGGTTGATCTTCCTGGCCAGGTATGATTCCAATAGCTTCATCTCTCGCGCGATCACGCTGGAAAACCTCCCTGGCTTCTTCAACGGTGAAGCCATTTAAGCCTGCGATCTGTTTCTTACTCCGCCTCTTCTTGGTGTCTCGCTTTTCGTTCGCCCAACGGAGCTCTTGGACTTCCTGTTCTATTAAAACCGCTCGATTCAAGGCCATTTCGGCACCCTTAAAAATATAGCCCAGCGCCGATTTCATTGGTGTATTAATCATGTCGTTACTAAGGAGCTGTTGAAACCTTAGTTCTTGCTTCTTGAATTGCTTTGCATTCATAGGTGTTTTTGAAATCGTCGATTGAGAATCTCCACTGCTTGGCCGGCTAGGTTCTTCATAAATGAGTTGATCAAGCACCTCGCTTGGCTTAAAAGGCACCAGGCCTGAAGCCCTGAAGGCACTCTTGATATTGATACTCTTAAACGCCATTAAATGAGCCTTTGGATACTCATCAAGAAAATCATTTTTATCGATATGTTGATATCTCGCACGTATAAGGCGTTCCACCAAGCCGTAATACGCCTGTTTTAGAGGCGCAAAACAAGCAACATCCAACGGCTGACAGAGGTGCGATGATCCGGCAGGCATACAAACAGGAATAATATTGTTCTGATAACAGATGTCATCAAATTTGGGCGTCAAGTGTGATTCATGGCCATCAAGAATCAAGAGGCTATATTTACCGACTCGGCGGTTGGTAATCCATGGAACGAAGTGATTTTCAAGCCAGTGTAGACTAATTTCGTTACTCGTCCAGCCGTTTGGTGATAAATTGATTCTCCATGTAGAAGGTAATTGGCTTTCATACCATCCTTCTATATGAACAGCTCCTTTAAGAATCAAGTACGGTGGTAAGGCCCAGCCAGCAGCGTTAATACACTCGATTGAAGTTACCCATTCGCGATTACCCGGCTGAACAAGAAACGGCTTTCCTTCACATGTTGATCGAGTAATCACTTTAGCCGTAGCGACTTGGCCCATACAAAAGCCCGTTTCATCAAAATTGAAGATGTCTTCATCAAGAATTCCGTATTCGCGTATAGCAAGTTGAACGCGGTCAAACCAAGCCTGAATAGTCCTTGGATTCTCGCATTTCGCTCTTTTAATATCAAGCTGGCGGCTATATCGACTTTTCAAGGTTTCATGGCGAGCAACGAAATTAGACACCCATTTCTCGCCGACAGAGATATGTAGATCTTGATCACCGCGCTTTCTAAGCAGCATGTTGGCCATTTCACGAACCATAGAGTTCCTTGGTGGCGCGCCGCGAGAATCAAGCGAGAGAATCCATTTTTCAAGCGATTCTTCTTCTCTCTCAGTCAATTTATGAGAATTTGGACGTATTTCCTGGCGAGAATGCCGTCCGTTTAAGCGATGTTGAAGAGTTGATCGAGAAACATCGAAAATCCGTGCCGCGCCACGTACAGAGGTAATTTGACCGTTTTTAATAGCTTGAAGGGCTAAGGCAATTCGACCCTCTTGATGAACCAAGTCTTTCGACGACTTCGGCATTTTTGGTGGTGTGGTTGATGTTCTAATGGCCTGAATTCATGGAGGTGCAGGAGGCTAGAAAGGGGTGGCTCGCTCGCTTACGTGGCTCGCTCGGGTGCCGATTACGTTACTCGGTGTTGATGAGTCACCCCATGAAGCCGTTCCAACGCCTCTTCTGGCTCATCTGCCCCTGGGAAAAGACTCTCTGCTATCATGGTATCAGCCACTTCACCACCAAGAAGCAGTTTCACGTTTGTGCGTGCTCCAACTCTCTCAGTGAGCTGTCCATCCTGATAATAGACGACACAGCATATAACCTCGGGTAGTCTCTGGCTGTATGGATTCCAACTTCCAGGAACAGCCCACGAAATGTGAATTGACGTGTGGTCAACACGACCTCTCAGTTCTTTCCAGCCGCCTGTTTCAATCGGTTGAACGGTATCGAGAGCAAGGGCGTTATTGATGTTGAAAATTCTCCCGGTCACGATCCTGAAGTCCATGGACATGAAGTCTATCCACTAATGAACCCATAGTCGTCACTGCATTCGGCGGCGCAGAATCGATTTCGCCCTGCCCTGCATCTACGACAAGACGTATTTCCCCGTCACGGGATCGTATTTCGTCTCTCCTTCTCCTGGAAAAGGGAACAGCAGCCGAGGGTCGATGCCAACCCCAATTCCGTTGTCAACTTCAGTGTTCCATGTTCCCATCGGAGTCTCCTGGTTGGGATTGGAAGAGCTGCTCTCTGACTCCTGGGTGGCAAGAGTATTCCACTTTGCGAGCTCTTCGGTTTCTTGATCTACGACAAGACTGAATTTCCCCGTCACGGGATCGTATTTCGTCTCTCCTTCTCCTGGAAAAGGGAACAGCAGCCGGGGGTCGATGCCAACCCCAATTCCGCGGTCAACTTCAGTGTTCCATGTTCCCATCGGAGTCTCCTGGTTGGGATTGGAAGAGCTGCTCTCTGACTCATGGGTGGCAAGAGTATTCCACGTTGCGAGCTCTTCGGTTTCTTGATCAGCCACAGGAGCTGGAGGCGATGCGTTGCGCGCCGATCGTACTGACCCCTGACGGGATATAGGAGCCTCGTTGAACCACGTATGTTGCAGGGCCATCTCTGCTGTTGCGCGGAGAGTAGGATCCGGATGCAATAGAGAGAACATGCATTCCTGACCGCTCTGGCTGACGCCAGTCGCGATCAGAAACATCTGGAGATTGTTCATATATTGAGAAAGCACGCCGAGGTTCTTAATCGACGATTGCCTGGTGAGCATTTGGAATGCGATTTCTCCGACCGCCCAAAGGTCCGGTGCATATGGGCTGCCACGCTTGACGAAACCGTACAGCTCGGGCGCAATATATCCACGCGTCCCCTTCAACATTGACGACTGTCCAATTTCACCTTCGATCCGTTTGCTGATGCCGAAGTCCGCTATCTTGACCCACCACTCATCTGGAGGACACGATTTGATCAGGACATTCTGTGTTGCGACAAAAGCGTTAGCCCAGTCTCAATTTCTGCCGGGGCAGCTTACTTTGGGTTTCATATCACGGTGTGCAAATTCATTGTCGTGCATCAAAAATAGACCATCCAGGATTTGAAATGTGACTTCCTTCGCCTCGTGTTCTGGTAGCGCCGGTTTCTGGTGCAGGTATGTATGAAGATCGCCTAACTCCAGGTATTCCATTGCGATAAACAAGTACTCGGGACTCTCGTACCAACCGAACGATTTGACAAAGGCACGCTCGTACTGCCAATGATCAGCATGCATCCTGAGAGGACATGATGCCAACACTTACTTTCCAATGCGAGAATTTCGCTATAGCCTTCAACTCCCGATAATAATCCACCCGTGTCGATTGTCGGCGTACCTCCATCTGCTTGATGGCGCGCAGTTCATTCTGTCGCGCTCCTTTGGTGCACTTTTCCAGCCAGACACTGCCATAACTCCCACCACCAATTTTCCTATACCTTCTCCAGTGTTCGGATCTAGACACGAGTCGACGTCGAGATTTGTAGTCCGGTTCATGGTAGGTATGCACGGTCTCAACGCTGCTGTCGGGTAGAAAGTGGGTTTCTAGCTTTGAATCTCGCACCAAATCGGAAATTCGAGGGGACAGAAGTTGCGATGAACTGCGCATGTGCTGGGAGCGCGGGCTGGCGAGTGGGGAAAGGCCGGGGGCATGAGGCAGATTCGGATCACTGCTGGATTCAGCACTACGCGCCCTCCCTAGCCCATCCGACATGGTGAATGGTGTTAATCAATACGACACCGATAGTCTTGAATTCCGATCCTGGCGATTAGCTCGAGTGCACGAACATGAGGAGCTCCGGAGAGTACCAGCGACCAGTCACCATGAGGTAGGATTCCCTTCCTGAGGTTCCACCACGGCGACCTTCTGTTCTGACTCGGGAGGGCTGGGATTCAACCTCAGCCACGTGGTGTTTGGTAACAGCATCAACGTTGAGGAACAGTCGTAAGCGAGAATGGGCGAGGCTGCGTGGGCGAAAGCGCGAAAGTGCGACGAGCCCCTCCTGCCTTAGCGCCTAAGGCCTCGTGTTCATTGGTCGACTTTCTCGGCCGCACCGTCACGAGGGGCTGCCAAAAATAACAAGACGATTGATAAACCGTGCAGATTCCCTGGACTGGTGCTAAGACTCTAGCGTAGGAGTTTCGACCGTAAACAATGGCCGACCCGATATCCATCATCTCTGTGATGGATCTCTGCTTCAAGTAAGTTCGTGCAACGCTGCACATTATCCGCAGCGATCCATGGAAGGCATCCTTGCTAAGCCAATCAGGTACGGGGCGATTCTAGTCCAGAAATGTTCCGCCTTCGCCCATGCGGAGTCGGAGCTTGTGGAGCGATCAGTCCTAGGTACGTACATCCGAATTCCTACACATTCTGACGGTCTTATTTTTCTTCCTCTGAACCACTCAAGCCTAGTGACGCACCGCGAACCCTATTAGAAATCTACTTGTTACCGACGCAAAGTCCTAGTTCTGAACAGGCAGGTGCTTTGCACCCAAAAACAACTTGTTCCCAGATGCATTTAGCAGGAAAACACCTCCGATCGGATGATCTAAGCGCGACTAGTTTCGCTCAACATATTCGGGTCGAAGGACAGCGATGAACCATTCCGCAAAAGGAATTCATCGCTTGTTCCCTCTAGCGGATAAAGACCCACGGGGGGTCTCATGCGGAGAAGAACATTCGGTAAGTCCCTATCCACGCATAAAAAGATTTGGCGCTTTAAGCTCCACAGGAGCTTCCCTAAAATTGCTTTCTCGGCGATGGGCATGTCTCGATACGTGGTAGCAGTGAACTTGCGCCTCCAGGGAGGGGGGCCGATAACAGCAGGAGGAAGGAGGCATAGGATATTCGGGCTTTGGTGACCAGCGGCCTCCACCAGATTGTCCCAGTAGACTCCTTTTTTGTGTGTTGCAAGAACACGCTGGATTTCTGCAGACGTAGGCACTGCTTTTCCGGGCGGAATTGAACGGATGATTTCCTCCGAAAAGGATTCGGAATGTTTTTTCATCCGATACAACCTCCACTGGGCCAATCTCAGTCCTACCTTAGAGACGTGGCTTTCCTTAGAAAAGGCCTGTAGCGCACGAAAGACGCCACCGGCCGTCTCTGCGTGACCTTCTAGTAGTGGAGATTCCGACCGCAACTCGCGCAGGCATTCTTTGAGCATTATCAGAGCTTGCGGTGAAGCGATACCAATTGCGAGTTGAAGCAGCTCGGCGGCGCGCCGCAGACCCAATTGCTGACCTCCAGATATGTGCGACGGACTATTGGCGAACTGCTTCACCATTCTCCACAGTCTATCACCGCATGCGTTCTCTGCGCCCATTCTCATGTAAAAATCCTGGAGCGTCTGCTCATCATCGGCTAGAGGGAAAGGTTGCGGAGACACGCTGACATTCCGAGAACGTCTCACCGGGGCACTGGCTTGGGCTGGAGAAATAGATGCCGGCAATGGTTCCAGTTCGTGATGAACTGGTAACATAAACGTTTGGCATGGATGGTCATGAAACGTCGGTTGGATTCCTCTACCATCAGGTCGAGCTCCGGTTACGTCTGCGTCTGATGGTCCGGCACCCGCGCTCTCGGGAGCTACTGCGGGTCCCTTTAGACCACTTGAGTGGAGCTGATAGTGTGGATCTGCCGGCTGAGCGCTTGCAACGCCATCTGTCTCACAGGTACCCTGGACGTCGGCGTCAGACTTACTCCCCTTTTGAGTATCATTAGGACAGGCTAGGATCGACTGGTTGCCTCCTGATGGTCTGCCATCCTTTGTGGTCTGCTCGGGGTTAAGGACAACGGTACCCGTTGGAACGAAATATTCTACTTCGGCCCTTGAAGTGTTGAGAGAAGAGTAATCATTTCGCAAGGATCTTTTCGCCGTGTCTCCAGGAGTTACTATTTCGATGTGTGTGGTTTTGTGGGACGATTCGGTACACTGCTCCTCAGTGGTTCCACCGTTTGATGTTCCCGGACTGCCCAGGCTTCTGAGAGGAGCCCAAAAGGAAACGGAAGGTCTAGGACCTGAATCGGACGCTAGTGAGAACGGCTCCATGCGGTCGGGTATTGTAATACGAGCGGATTCAATGCCCGTTGACGGTGATAGGGAATTATCGGAGTGGAGTTTCCGCTTCAAACCTATATGACGCGTTCTATGCCCATTTCTAGCCCAATATTGTGCGGTCATGATCGCACTAAAGGTTTGAGATCTACCGAAGTCCCTTTTGAATCTAGTCTCGACTTGTTCCTTCGTTAGATGCCTGTGGTCCTGGAACCACCGGGGCAGACGATCCAGTTCCTCCGGCTCCCACGGAGGCATAGTAGAAGGCGCTACCAAAGGATGTCAGGCTGTATACATCGGATATTCGGAAATCCTGACTCACGCTTGCGTTTTCGGAATCCTTTCGATGTCGCCGGTTCTGGAGGCTCAGTAATCTGCAAGTTTGCATGGTTCGATTCATCATGGATCTGCCGAGTGCTTGCAGAGTAGCTCCCGCGAAGTTGGGTAAGAGCCCTAAGCCTTTGGCTTATTTTTGCTCGACATTCGTTGTTCATGTCGATGACTACATCCAAGGCAAAGTTAAAAATATGGTGGTATAGAAACCGATGATTGAAGAGGATACTCACTCTGCGAGGCAAGTTCGTTTGAACTTAATAACAACCCCTCGACTAGCCGCATCGTGTCTTCCTCAGACTTTAGATTGCTCGGATATGAGCGTGGGTCAATGAGTTTTTGGGGAAAGCCAGACTCGATCAAGTTGTGATCTGCTTCGGACACCCGAATCAACCCACTGCGTCCATCAAGTTTTAAGTAATAATAGCCATCTTCCCGACGTGTTGGATTATACGAAGGAGCGAGGACAACATCGAGCCAGCAAATACTATTGTCGACTTCCCCTTCATCATCTTTCATAAGTTGCAATTGGCCGAACAATGGATCAAGCTTCCCTGCCATAGAGTCACTAGCCAGAGGAACACCAAAATAATGCGCAAGGCTACCATCGCCCTCAATAGCAGTTGCCAGTGACCGCGACTGCTCGAGAGTTAATCGTAACCATTGCTGTGTAGGGGAAAATTGAGCGTGGAGCGTTTTACCGCAATCCGTCAAGGTCGAACTGCAACCGACATCTGGGACATCTTCTAGAGGACAGGAGTCAGAATAGGAGTCAGAACAGGAGTCCATCTTCACAGAGATAAAGTTGCTAATGAAATGTGGAGAACGGGAGGTCTACTGGAGAAGGGTTGAGGACAGTGGGGTTTTAAATTCTCCCTTCTGAAAGCGACCAAACGCCAGCTCGACTAGGTACTAGAGCCATTTAAAGCCTCTAATCAGCGACGACAATGAAAGGTCTTATGAAGTGGCGCTGAGTGGGTCGCCAACGTAGAAGCGATTGGTCCGGTCCGTCACCTTTCTCCCTGTCACGGATTTCAAATTTATCGCTTTGTTACTAGGGGGGTAAATGAATGCCCAATTGAACGGGCAGGCGAGGTTATCTGCGTAGTTCTATTGCTAAGCATTGGACACCAACTTTGTCGGGTATTAGGGAACAAATTAGAACTAATACGCTGGTCCATGAGATGGATGATTTTGGTCTCTCGGCATTTGATCGGAGTAGGATGAGAAGGAGCTTGGATACGCTAACTCCTCCCTTTGAGACGATCATAATGCATTGCTGCGTAATATAAGGTAATGGGGCAAGCATAAGTTGCTATATAGAGGAGCATATCAATACCTCTCCCCCAACTCCCGCCAAGAATCACGGAGTTCATATTCGTAATTGTGCTTTGTTGTGCTCGAGATCTGGGATGAACTGGAAGTCGTACCCCTGATCAACCTCCTGCTTCCCTGGTTTCAAGACGAGAAAACCAAATATGGTTGAAAGTCGATCGACGGGCGTCTTCCCTCCTCCTTTGCCTGGGCCTTTCCTGAATTTACGGCTAAGTACAGTATTGTTGAATCATGGGAATTATGGAGAGCCTTGTGCTGAAGACATTAGCCACCCCCTCCATTCCACACTATCGTAGCTTGCCATACAGATAAGTGACGTTTTCTCTCTCTTTCTATTCCTGTTTTTACTCACTTTTCTTTTACCTTTTCTTTTCATTTTTTCATTTTTCTTTTAGTTTCGCTTTGGATCCGTAGAGCCTATGTTTTTCTCATCTTGTCCGGTGCGACAGGCGCGAAACTTGATGACCACCGTTGGCACTGATTTCCTGGAGAGCCCTGCTTTATAGCGCCTGCGGACACCAAGCAAATAAACAAGATCTTTCTAGACCGAAAAGCTTTGCGTGTTTGTTAATAGATTGATCATTCTGGACTAGTCTACTCGTGGCTTATTTCGCTTTCGTTTCACCTGTTTCCAGCCAATTGAACTGGGGTAGTACCGGTAGATTTGGAAATCTAGTATTATTTATGCCGGATCCGGTTAGATGAGAAAAAGGACTGGGCTTTGTATTGTCTCTTTCCATTTCAGAGAACTGTTTAGGTGCTTAACATTAAGGCGTTCGCGACCATAATAATACGTATGGGACTTATCACAACTAGGGCGGAAAGTACAATATAAACTACGGTTGCTAGTTTCCGTGCCGGCACATGACCAATTCTCGCACATAATTTGCCTCAGAGAACTACGATACTGACAGCTGACATGACATAAATTGAGCGTGATCGTGCATGGGCTCCGAGGAGACGAGGCATATATATTTGGACATGTATAATAGATTAGTGTTAGTTTCCCTTTCGGCTTAGCCGCCGGGCGTTAATAAATTGTGTGTGTGTGTGTGTGCCTCAGAGACAAAGGACTGCCTTTACAGCATCGTTCCAGATGAGATTTGAAAAGAAAAAGGTGGGGGTAGGCATAAGGCTACGCTGTAATATCTATGGCGGGATAGACATAACCGAGCTGAAAAAAAAAAAAAATTCATTTTGTCTAGCACGTGAAAGTAATGAAAAGGAGAAGGCTTCTTAAAAGAATAGACGGTGCTAGATTCTCGGTTTTCTTGGTACAGGATACATCTCACAGTGTGTAGCGTCTGTTGAGACAGGAGCGAAAGAATTCCGGAAGTGTAGACCACAGAGTACGGGATGCAACTATTTGGTCGAGGCTGGGCTAACTTTGACCGAGGTTTTACGACGGCTTCAGACTTGTGTGACAAGGCTGGCTTCATAAGACGATGACGATAGGCTTTTGTTTGTTTTCACTAATTGGTACATAATCCTTGTACGCATAGATATATGTCGTGGTAAGTCACATCCCACATCCGCCCAAATAAACCCGCCTGCTCCGAAATTAGTGCGGGTAGATGCATACGGAATAACATATGGGTCGGAATAGCTATGTGTAAATGTAAGGCCATGAACAGGGGGGTGAGGAGTCTCCCACACGCGTGTGATGGCTTTGATACAAGTTCGAGCACTTTTGAGAGCCTGGGGCTGTTTTTCTTCCTCTGTATTTCTCCTATCTTTTGCTAGCTCAGTTGGAGGAACGGGACAACACGGGAACCGACAGGAAGATAAAGAAAGAGTCGCACGTTAGCTAGTGGCTATGGTACCGTGAGGCGTGCAGCACACCATAATAGTTTCGTCTTGGCAGTTATCGGACTAACCTGGAATATTAAGTGATGTTACCTTTCGAGGATGGCCAGAGATTACGCAAATTAGTCCTTCGCAAGGTTTTAGCTCCCGGCAGATGCTCTTACTGTATTACTGTAAATATCATATCGATTACGTGAATGTGCCAATCCAAAGTACTTCTCTTTCTTTGTATTAGCTTCCTGGACAGCTAGAAGTGAAAACCACCTGCAACCTCGGAAATACAAATACAAATCATATCACAAGTGTAAAGAATACCCCGCTGGGTCTATCCTAAGGATACCCCGAGGATAATTTTGCATTGTACGAGGTCTTGTCGTGGATTAAAGCGTTGAGTGGCCACACTGCACAACGGAGACATAGGACACAAGCTCACTCGCTTAATTGTCCGTTATGTTAATCCACTTTCAAACGTGAAGTTGGTGGATTGCACGGTGGCAGCAACCGAAAGAAAAAGACGGTGGGGACAGATAGTATCACCTTTTGCTTTACATATTATCTTCCTATGATGAGCGGTTTACAAAGATCAGTTCTTTGTCAATAATTAAATATCTGCCTCCGGTACTTGGTGTACATGTTTAAGGTAACTATCTTCCACAGTTTCCTACAGCAGGTGCTGAACTAGACGAAATTCGTTCATGACAACTATCGACAGCTAGAATTACATGAATTTGGAGAAAGCCTTAATTTGATAGGGTGAAACCCAAGTTTCTTTGTTTTTACTACATAGCGGCGCCACCCTATCCATTTGGCTTGACTCACAACACCTTGCCGCCCCTAGCCGAAATACGACCGTGGCGCAACTGAATATCCTGCTTGGTGGCTCTAGAAGCGGATAAGGGACACATCACAAATTGCAGAGGTTGCAAAATGTAGCCCACACTCTGTCTCGTATATCCGCAGAAAGTTGCGATTGTACGGCACTGCGAAACCTCGTCTTCTGCGTGCTGGCCGCCCACCCAGTATCACCCCTCTCATGGTCAAAGCTCTCTGCGATCACCTGAGTGAAAAGCCCGATCTCTATATCGAAGAGATGGCTGTTTTCCTTAGGGATGAATTCAATGTTCTACCATCCATGTCGAACATTCAGCGGGCCCTCTCCAAACAAGGATGGACGAAGAAGCAAGCTCAACAGAGAGCAAAAGAACAGAACCCTCAGCTAAGAGCATTCTACCAGCACCAGCTGTCCAAGTTGAAATCTTATCAGCTGGTTTTTATTCATGAATCTGGGTGTGATAAACGAGTAGGATTGAGGCGAACTGGTTGGTCTCCGCTTGGCGTGACGCCTGTCCAAGTTTCGAAATTTCACCGCGGTCAACTTTACTATATACTGCCAGCTTTTGCCCAAGATGGTACTATTATCTCCAATATCTACCGAGACTCGACAGATGTTGTGGCTTTTGAAAGCTTTATTGAGCGGCTTTTACGACACTGTGGGCGGTTTCCAGAACCAAATCCGTCCT